AACAAAGCACTCCTTGTAAGGGTGTGAAATCCTCTCCCTAGTAGATGCGTTTTAAAACTGTGAGGCTAACGGCAATACGTAACGGGCCAAAGCGGACAATATATACTAGCAGTGAGCTTGAGTTGTTACAAATGATATCAGAGCCAGACACTGAGCGGTGTGCCAACGAGGACGCTGGGCCCCCAAGGGGGGTGGATTGTGAGATCCCACATCAGTTGGAGAGGGGAACGAAACATTCCTTATAAGGTTGTGGAAACCTCTCCCTAGTAGACATATTTGAAAACCTTGAGGGGAAGCCCGGAAGGGAAAACTCAAACAGTACAATGTCTGTTAGCGGTAGACTTGGGGCTGTTACATTAAGACCTTTCACGTCCTTTTACATAAGGATCTATCTTGCCAAGGAAAAACTGCCTTCAAGAAAGAAAATGTATCTATGGCTCTGTTTCTTTTGCTTTCTAATGCGATTCTTTCCTCATGTTTGAATCATTCTATCTAATGAATCTTTCTCAAACTAGTCTTAATGTTTTATAATATCAGATTCCTGTGATTTACCTGAACACACCCCCCTGTGGAGCATCTCGACTCGTGGTTCATCCCGTTATCGAGCATCTTAACATCTAACGACTTAATCATGGCAGGTCCAGTTGGGAGTATTACATCAACAACTCTGAAGAAGCTTAATATATCTTCAAACAAATTGACAGGCTCCTTGCCCACCATTATTGGGCATTGTAATGTTATAGATCTTAGTAATAATATGCTGTCGGGCGACTTATCTCGGATTCAAAGCTGGGGAAATCATGTCGAAGTTATTCAGTTAAGTTCGAATTCATTGACTGGAACGTTATCAAACAAGTCTTCTCAATTCTTAAGGCTTACTTTGTTGAATGTCTCCAATAACTCATTGGAGGGCATTCTTCCGACCGTGTTGAGTACCTATCCCGAACTCAAGATTATTGATTTAAGCCATAACCGGCTTAACGGTCCTCTCCCTTCTACTCTTTTTCACTCTTTGAAGTTGACTGATATTAATCTCTCAGGCAACAATTTTACAGGTCGTATCCCACTCTATGAGAGTATAGATTCTACTTCTAGTTCTTCTTTACAGAATTCGAGCCTGATATCTCTTGATCTGTCACGAAACTCATTGACGGGTCGTTTACCATCGGAATTGAGTAAGCTCCACAGCTTGGTATATCTAAATCTGTCAAAAAACTATTTTGACGGCGTCATCCCGGATAACCTTCCAAATAGTTTGAACGGCTTTGATGTGTCGTTTAACAATCTCTCTGGGGAAGTTCCTGGGAACTTGATGAGGTTTTCTGAATCATCATTCCATCCAGGAAACTCCTTGCTAGTTTTTCCTTCTTCCCCAGGAAATCCAAAGGACTTCCCTGGTCTGACACCTTCAACCATGCACAAGCCTCATATGAAACCGGTCGTTAGAATCGTTCTCATTGCAGGCTTGATCGTCGTTGCTGCATTGGTAGTTCTTTTTTGTATTATATTGTATTACAGAGCTCGAAGGCTTGACCGTAGGAGCAGTTCAACCAATGATGGAAAGGAAGGTACCTTGGAAGAAGCTTCTTCTGTTACTCGTCGTTCCGAAACCGATACAAAGAAGAATGCATCAATACCTCCATCTAACCGAGGGGAGGAGGGTCATGTTGGTGGCGACGTGTGGTCTGTTTCAGACAAGGCTAGAGATGTTGGCTATCATGAATCATTGGGAAAAGGAGAAGGCATGTCCTCCTCACCCATGTCTCTCATGTCATCTTCAAATCCATCGCCTTCGAAGAGCTACCAACATCTCGATAATCCTCGAGTACTAAAAGTTCGGTCTCCTGATAAATTGGCTGGGGATCTACATCTTTTTGATGGCTCCTTGATGTTCACTGCTGAAGAACTTTCTCGTGCTCCGGCCGAAATTGTAGGGAAAAGTTGCCACGGGACGTTATACAAGGCGACACTCGACTCGGGACATGTATTGGCTGTCAAGTGGCTGAGGGAGAGAATGGCCAAAGGAAAAAAGGAATTTGCAAGAGAAGTGAAGAAGCTTGGGAGCATCAAACATCCAAATTTAGTATCCATTAATGGATACTATTGGGGCCCCAGGGATCATGAGAAGCTTCTTATATCAACTTTTATAAATGCACAGTCTTTGGCTTTCTATCTTCAAGGTAAGATCAAATCCGTCGGCCTTTTCGTCGACAAACACGTCGACATATACGCCGAGTAACTCTTAGAAAGTTGGAAACTTTGATATAGAATCATATCCAATGTGATTGATTGACTGAATGAACTTCTTTGTTTTTCTGCAGAGACGGAGCGAGGCGGAGTCTTGCCGTTATCTCTACTGGACCGTCTTAAAGTTGCTTTGGACATAGCTCGATGTTTAAACTACTTCCATAACGTGAAGACGATCCCTCACGGCAACCTGAAATCCTCGAACATTTTGTTAGAAACTTCGACGATGAATGCACGACTTACAGATTACAGTCTACACCGCATATTAACCCCGGCTGGCACAGCGGAGCAAGTTTTGAATGCAGGTGCCTTAGGCTATCGGCCACCCGAATTCGCAAGCTCGAGCAAGCCCTGTCCATCGTTGAAGAGTGATGTCTATGCATTTGGAGTCATCTTGTTGGAGCTCTTAACAGGAAGCAGTTCAGGGGAAATAGTTTGTGGGATTCCTGGAGTTGTTGATCTAACAGACAGGGTCAGGTACTTAGCTAGAGAAAACCGCTTCGATGAGTGCATCGACAGGACGATGCTGGACATCGACCGTGATGAAAAGCCGCCCAAACGGGTCGAAGATATGCTTGAAATGGCTCTAAGATGTACTCTACCAGCAGCTGAGAGACCAGACATGAAGACTGTGTATGAAGAACTTTCAGTGATTGTGCAGTAGAAAAGATAATCCATGGTACAGAAGCTCTAACTCAACTTTTTTCTTGCTAACACCATTGTTTTCGGGTATCAATAAGCTGTCGTTTTGTCAATTTTGCGCCATTTTTTGAGTCGATAACACTATTTTTTGAATCTCCCAAGTTCACCACTAGTAGATATTGTTCGCTTTGACCCGTTACATATCATCGTCAACCTCATAGTCTTAAAATGCGTCTGTTAGGGAGAGGTTTTTACACTCTTATGCTTCGTTTTCCTCCCTACCCGATGTGGGATCTCATACTTAATAGGGATCTAATTGAAAATTTTGAGGATACAAAACCAAAACTTCTAAAAGTTCGAGGGCGTAACTGAAAGTGATACGTACTCAGGGACCGAGCCAAAATTGGTAGAGTTGACAAAAATATATAAAATTAAATTTTAAAAAATAAGAGAAACAAACAAAATAAATGACATGAGAGGCAAGGATGAAAGGAATTTATGTTTGATTGAATCAAATGAAAGAAATATAAAGATTTGTGGATATTTTCAAAATAAAAAATAAATTGTGGACTTTTTTGCAATTTATCTTCCTATCCTTCCAATATGGTTGGCATTAAGCTGGCTTGAGCCATCTTTTTATATATATATATATATAATTATTATTAAACACAAAATTGAAAAATTAATAACTAATTTAATAATTAATTAAACTTATATTTTAAAATTGTCGGACGGAAACCATTAACTAGAGGTGTATATCGAACCTGATAGTTTGAAAACTCAAACCAACCCAACTTAGATCATAATAAAAGTTGAGTTGAGTTGGATTAATTTCTCGGGGTCGATTTAGTTCAATTCGATTTCAAATTTAGTGAACAAAATATCGAGTTGAGCCGACCCGACCAAAGTCATACATATTAGAAAAATATTAAATTTTTACTTTTGGGGATTTCTACTCTTTGGCTCCGGCAGCGGCATCTCCTTACCTATAGCAACGAGCAGCGACGACGACCAATATTCAGTCATTTTCTCTTAAACAATCCACAAGATGATAACACGCATCCACAACGACCAGATGTGTTGATGTAAATTAGTGTTTGTCTGTGTGTCTATATTTTGTTTCCGTATTCGATATTTTAATCCGGTTGAAGTTCACGAACAAAAGTATATAATTTTCACATGGTAATAATTATAAAGAAAAAAAAAAGGAAAATTAGAAAATAAATTACTTTAGGACTGCCCCACGGCCACGCTGGGCAGCCTGTTTAGAATGAAGGGTATCCCTTCCCACGTGAGGAAGCTTCTACAACAAAACAAAGATACGAGACATAATTCCCGTGTCTCCCAACTTTCCAAATTTTTGTCTTTTTTTTTTTTTTTCAATTTTCTTATTCTTTTTTATTATTATCAACATTTTTTATTAAAAATTTTAAAAAATATTTTTTTTTTAAAGTTAAAATTGTAAATTTGACGGTAAAAAGTGTACGTAATTTGGATTTAAAATTTGACGTCAAAATAGAGTTTACAATCCAACCCAAATTTTTATTTTTTTAATTGAGCTGTAGAGTTATTATTTTTTAATTATTAAAAAAAATACTATTTAACTGTAATTCGAATATAAAAAAATTACTACGTCATTAACCTTAGTTATAAATGTTAAATATTTTTAATATTTTTAAAAATATCGTTAAGTTGTAACCTTATTTTTTTTGTTGGTCGGATTAATATAATTAAAAATTTTCAAATTTATAAATTAAATTGAAATTTTTATATTTTAAATCCGAGATTTGATCGGAAAAAATTTAACATTGCTTAATATTTATTATTTGAATTGGATAATTTAGATTAGTAGGATGATTATCTATTAATTTGAAAATCATAATTATTAATTTTAAAATTAGAAATTTTTTTTAGATAAAAGAAAGTGGGCCCCATGCTTGTAAGGAAAGAAAGCAGAAAAGGCGCGTGAAATAGACATACTTGTTTTGTCGTATTCGGCGTCTGGCGATTGCAGCGCGTCGTCCTCAAATCTCTGACACCCAATGCTTAACTGTACCTCACTTTTTATTTTATTTATTTTATTATTTTATTTTAATTATAATTTATATATAAACCCCAGCTCTCCCCTTCTCCCACCTTCTTCGTCGTCGTCGTCGTCGTCAAATTTCAAATCTCTCTCTCCGCCTCCCATGGCCGACCGCGTCCATCCCGCGGACTCTCCTCGTCCGAGCACCTCCTCCGTTGCCTCTGACTCCAAGCCTCCCTCTCTGTCCGCCGCCGCTGAAAAGCCTTCTCCTGCTCCTGGCACCTACGTCATCCAGATCCCCAAGGATCAGGTGTACCGCGTTCCGCCTCCCGAAAATGCTTACCACTTCGATCGCTATACTCGCCGCAAGCACCGCCGCAGCCGTAGTCGCTGCTGTTGCTGTCTCTGCTGGCTTCTCGCTCTCTTCGTAATCCTCGTCGTTCTTCTAGGTATTGCTGCTGCGGTTTTTTACTTCGTCGTTCGCCCTAAATCGCCTAATTACTCGATCGATTCCATCGCCATTAGAGGACTGAACTTGACTGCCTCGTCCACATCCGCGATTTCGCCTAATTTCGATGTTGCCGTTCGAGCGGATAATCCGAACAAGAAGATCGGAATCTATTACCTAACAGGTAGTTCGGTTCGAATCTATTTCTCTGATGAGAAGCTTTCCGATGGCGTTTTGCCTGATTTCTTTCAGCCAGAGAAAAACATCACTGTGTTCCGATCGTCTGTGAGAGGCTCTGGTGTTAATCTATCGAACAAAGCGACCAACGCGATGATCGATTCGCAGAATCGGCATGCGGTACCGTTCAAAGTGGAGATTCGAGCGCCGATTAAACTGAAAATAGGATCGGTGAAGAGTTGGAAGATCAGAGTGAAGGTATTTTGCGATGTGACGGTGGATCAGTTGAGTGCGGCGGCGAAGATTGTTTCAAAGAACTGCGATTACAGCGTGAAGCTATGGTAGGGATGAATTTAATTATTTTGATTTTCTGTTTATATAAAATTATTACTGTAAAACTTTTGCAATGAGTATACACTATACACGATCCGTTTTTTTTTTTTTTTTTTTTTTTTTTAAATTTTGCGATGAACACTAAATTTTCCTAAAAATACTTTACTTTTACTTAAATTTAAACACAATTTTTTAAATTCAATTTCATTAACTAATTTAATAAAATATATCTTAATTAACGAACACGATTACAATAAATAACAACAAAAATTCATTTTATTATAAATTAAATAGCTTGAAAGCTTAGGATAAAAGGAATTTTTGTTACCAATATTTGGATTATAGAATTAATTTTTTTTATTTTAAATTTATCGATTAATTTAAGGGGGCTAAAAACGTGGTAACCATGTTTGAATTTTTATTTTATTTAGTTTAATAAGTCCTAAATGGGTTTAAATTTTAATAGGTCGTTGAAAAAATTATTTTTAATTACTGTAAAATAAAATTTAATTAGGTCTTTTAATTTAAAATCACTCTTTAAACTTATAAGGTAGTTGTAGTTGTAGCAAATTTAAGTTTATTTTTCGATTATTGTAATTTTTTTTTACTTATTTTTTAAATTTTATTTATATTTAATATTAAAAACTTATAAAGTCGGATTTAATTTTGATGCCCCAAATTATTTTAATTTTTATTACGATTTATTAACCAAAATTATGAGAAAATAATTAATATTTGATAAAAAGAATAAATGGAATATTCCATTAATGGAAGAAAAAAGACCTTGAACATGTCGTGTTGCCAATTGCATGCAAATAAAATCAAACAGATTTTATTATTATTATTATTTATTTTCAATTTTTTAAGTTCAAACAGTTGCCAATTTGGAATTAATAAATGCCCAAGTTTTGGATTATTGAAATTTTCAAATCAAAAGGCCTTTTTTTCTTTTCTTTTTTTTTTATTTAATTTGGACTTATTCAAAATTTTGTGGCAATAAATACACATACTTTTCAGAGACATATATATATATATATATATATATATATGTATGTATGTATGTATGTATGTATGTATGTATGTATGTATGTATGTATGTATGTATGTATGTATGTATGTATGTATGTATGTATCCATCCTAACCCCTATTTTAGTTTGAAATCTTCAACAAAATTTGTAGTTTCCAAAGATTTGGTAGAAAAAAATATAATGGATTTTTTTTTTTTAATTGGGTAATAAAATGTTTTAAATTCCTAGTCAAACTCTAAATGCAAGTTTTTTTTTTTTTAATTTTCATTTTAAATAATTCGGGCCGGCAAATGAAATGATTGTATTAATATGCATTTTATATTTAGGCAATTCTTTTAAACTTAATCATTAAAAAAGTCTCATTTGTTTGTTGAAAAACAAAGATGAAAGTAATAATTAATCTAATGTGTTTTATGTAAATGCTAGTTATAAGTAAATATTTTACGTGTATTGTATTACCTGAGTAAGGAGAGTACATAAATGATTTGAAATTACATCTAAATGAAAGTGTTTTCGAAGATCGGATGGTTGAAAAATGCTTAAAAGAATTTAAAGTCACTACTCATACTAACAAGGTGCACCTTCGTTTTTTGTGGTTCAATCATGGGAACTTAGGTAAATGTGATTTGCTTTGAGCAATTTCTATGTTGTATGATCTCTTGAGAATTTTTCTAAAGGTGCATGTAAGTAAGAACAAAACATATCGGAATGAATCGTGTTGGTCCGTTGGGATAGTCTTCGCTCCTAGAAGGAGGTGTCAATCTGAATTTTAGATCTTGGGCATGGACTGTTACATGATAAAACTCTCTTCTTCAGCCACTAATCCAAAGGAAAGAAGATCTAAGAAATCATTCTCGAATTAATACTAAACATGTCTCTACATATCGATTTATGAATTTGATTTGTGCTTCATATTCATTTCTCTATTTTTAAATCTCTAATTTGAGACTTAGTCTTTCAATAAATTTTATTTTTTAAAAAATGAGTCTTGAGCATATCTTCAAAGATTATTAGATAAATAAAATGAAACCAAAATAAAAAAATTAAGCATTTATACAATTATTAATTAATCAAATTACAATTACTTATTTTTAAACAAAAAAAAAATCTGAATTTCAAGAACAAAAACAATTCCAAACTCAAATAAATATATTATAAAACGACTAATATTTTTTAAAATAAATTAGGTTATTTATTAAAAAAATTAAATTAACTACATTCTTTTCAAATATTGACATACTTCAATCCATATTAACATTCACATAAAGACAAGATTTTTATTCATGGACTTAATTTAGCATAACTAGTTTGAGTATTATATGAATTTTAATTTTTAATTAACAAAAAAAAAATAGTAAATAATTATAATTTCATCTATTACACATTCAAAGCCCAAATGAGCATCAGCAAAAATCTTGGATAACTTAACTTGTAAGAAACAAGATGAAGTCCCAAAACTTGCGAACATCCTCTTCAAATTTTCATTGCCAAGAAAGTGCTCCAGCCAATGCCACAACTAGAAAGAAGCTTCAAGCCAATTCCATAGAGGCATATCATTGAAAATTAGAATGACCTCAACCTTATGTCTATACAGCTAAAAAAACAAGGCTAAATTCTACACCGACCCTACCGATCGGTCAACACAGGCTCCAAATTTCATCTCTAAAGTCATTTAACAGAAATATGAAAGACTAATACCTACAACATTAATGCCAAACCTCACTTAAACTAGGGCAATATTGATGCATGGCATACTATAAGATCAATATGTGATCAATACATGCTAGTTTGGAATCGGTTAACGGAAATATGAAAGACTACTACAAGATTCGAAGCGACAACATTAATGCCTAACCCCCCTTAAACTATGGCAGTGTTAATGCAAATCATAATAAAATCAATGATTGGACACAACATGCTGTTTGGAATCAGTTAAGGGTAGTGTGGAACATCAAGATAATATAACAAGTATTCTGGAATAAGATCTGGCATACATAAAAAGTTTATATTGAAACCATTCGATCGATAATAACATGCTTCGCAAGCGGAACACATCACTACGTTCACCCCCAAAATTAAATGGATTGAAAAAGAAACTCTGAAACAAAAATCTATGATCTGAGAGGAAGTTGCAAACTAACTGTCTCCGGGAATGCTCTTGATGATATCAGAGTCGCCTGAAAATAATTCCAAACTCAAGATCAGAACCATTAAGCAAGGAAGTCACCCAAAATTTTAGTTTTGATCAGAGAAAACTGTATACCAGGATCGATAATACTGAGGCAGCATACTCTGTAATACTTTCCGCACGCAGTTCCAAGATCTACATTGCCTGACAACATTCAAGAGAGATATTTGCTCACAATGAGTCTTTTGGAAAATCAATTGCATCCCCTAATCAAACTTCTTATGCAGAATAAGAGATAAACCAATAATAAGGATAAGCAATCAAAAAGCTTGGACATAGTCGGGATGTGTGGAGACAAGTGCTTAAGTCACGGGTAAGTTCATTCAGAAATCTAACAATTCTACCTCAATTTTACGAAGTTCACAACCCATAATTAGCCAACAACACATGAGTAGGCAATACATTCTCGTAAACTGATAATATGATAAACTAAAATGCAGTGACGAAAATCAAGCTGATTCTTAATTAAAAGGGCTAGGAACATACTTCCGTTGTAATGGTGAACTCCAACCTTGGCCAACATCGCATAATACTCAATCTCAGACTTTCGGAGTGGAGGACAGTTGTTGGCAATGATGATCAGCTTACCTGCAAACAAAAAGAACATAATATATAACCTCGCATGAAAAAGGCTTTACCAAAAGATGGATAACAAATACGACACTACGAATCCCTTAACTTCTCAAAGAATAATACGTGAACGTAGTAATGTCAATCAAGGGGATACCAACCTTAGTAACTCAAATAAACTATTGGATGAAGGATTAGGCCAATGACAATAAAAAAAAAACAAAAAAAAATCTTGTCAATGCTTTTAATGCTGTAGGTAACAACCTTTGATTCGAAAGTTTCAGTAATTTCATTGAAAACTATGCCTAACTATAATAACTGGACGGCTGAAAATCAACCGAATGTCAACCGTGAAAAAAATAATAATAATAAAATGCCTACTGAACTGGATTAACAACGAACAAACATACACTGAGGCAAAGTCCAGAGATCAGATCAGTAGCGCAAATATGAAATCTTAGTGAATAGAATACCTTTAGAGCTCCTCAAGGTCTTGAGAACGGTTTTGTATCCCAATGTATATTTCCCACTCTTCATGACGAGAGCGAGCCTATTGTTGATACTCTCATGAGTCTTCTTCTGTGAAATTTTCACAACAGAAAAAATGTCAGACCTCTCCAAAACAAAAACGACGGAGGAGAAAAACCTAAATCCGCCGGCTATTCCTTCGTTCCTAAACAAAATCAAATGCGAAACATAGAAACCAATCCCAGCAATAAGCCAAAGAGGAAGAAATGGGCGGGAAAGGGATGAGAAACTCACGGTCTTCTTCGCGGCAACCATGGTGGAAGTAGAGAAAGCTGCCGATCGACGCCGAAAGGGTTACAACCAGAAACCCTAATCTAAGAATATATATAGAGCGCCCAACTGTTTTTCCTTTTTTCTTTTTCATTAAATGATATTATTCCTTCTCAACTTTGTTTCAATTCTCAGCCTTTACAAATATTTAATTTCTTTTTATTTAATAAATTTAAATTTTAAAAATTAAATTTGTAATTTATTTATACTCGAGTTATTTAGGTTAATATAAGTTTTTTTTTTTTTTTTACAAACAAATATTTATACTTATAATATAAAATAAATAAAATTACATTTTAATTGTTTTTTTTAGCTTGAGTTCTATTTTTATGATTTAATCAATATCAAAATTTTCATTTTTCTTTTATTTTTTTACCTATCTGAAAAGCCTTATAGCTTATATTTTAAATATAAATTTCAATATATATATATATATATATCGATGTTTATGTAGACACGTGTTGAGTATATTTGGTCATAGTCGTCGCAGGAGTAATTTATAACACTGCGAGTCTGTCTAAATAAGAGTTGATTGATAACCTGAGTCACCTCAAAAGGTCGTTATTGAGTTGCCCATAAGGTCGAGATAGGAAGAAATCTTGCATAACTTACTCTTGTCCTTGAGTACGTCAACCAACTAAAAATTAGGTCATCGGTGGCACAGACAACATGTGATTTAGTTTCTACTTTGTTCTTGCACCGTAATTTTTAGAAAGCAAGGTTATAGAAGATCTCATCAAATGTTTTGAAATTAATTTGAGAAAACGAACGTTATAAGCTAATCGATAGTAAAGGGTACTGACAACAACGACAACATACGACGTAAGTATAAAAAGTTGACTAATACTCGTATCTCCCAGTGATAAAAGACATACAGTAAAAGTAATGTAATAAAGAACACGCACTGAACGACCACGACAACGACATCTTTCCACGTTTAATTAGTTGTCGTCCCCACCTACCAATTTTACTTGAATCAATCAATGCGAGTAGCAATCGAGTGTGAGCATTATTCAACGTTTTTCGACAGGTGTCTGTATTAGGGAGTTTCCTTTATAAAAATTTCGTGCACGTCTCTTTTTGAGCCGTCTATTCATCTCGTCGTCTTGAATGATATATTTTTTTGTGACGGGATCATGTCGCCTTCGTTATTGAATGCATTCTATTTTTTTTACCGTGGTCGTTTCATCAGTAAAAATGCTATTTAAACAAGCACAAACTATTTTTTAGAGGTTTGTTAAAATTGGAGAGGTAAAAAGATGTATTTAGGTACGAACAGTAAAGCGGTAGAAAAAAAAACCCTGTCCAACGCAACGGGAAAGGGCATGCTTACATGGCACATACCGCCAATCACAAGACGCCACGTCATAAAATATAAAGCACAATAAATACACGTATGGGATTAATCTCACACGCTTGTCAGATCAGTGAATGAAACTCCGGACTTTCTCTCTCTCACTTCTCCGACGCTTTGGGTTCGTTTTAGGGTTTCATCCCTTCTTCATCTTCTTTAACTGCTGTGGAAAATCATGGCCGAGGTTATGAACATGGCCGCCACCGCCACCGCCGCCGACGAGTCGTTGGACCGCCGTCGCGATCGTCAAGAGAAATCGTCTGAGGAGCAACCTCAATCATCTCCGCCGCCACCGCCTCCGCAGCCAGTTGCTGCTGCTCCTCCTCCTTCCAGAAGACGGGATAGAGATGAGAGAGATAGGAGAGACGATCGGGACGCTGATCGACCTCCGAACCGACGCGGCGATAATTACGATCGTAATCGCTCTCCGCCTTCGCTGCCTCCGAGGGACAGGGATAGAGATAGAGATAGGGATTATAAACGTCGGAGCAGTCTTAGTCCTCCACCGCCTTACAGGGATCGTAGACATTCGCCTCCTAGACGGTCTCCTCCGCCACCTTACAAGCGTTCAAGGAGGGACGATGGTGGCTATGATGGAAGAAAGGGAAGCCCTAGAGGAGGTTTCGGGCCTGGCGATAGGAGGTGAGTGGATGGGAAACGGTTTTGATTTGTTGAGCTTAATTGTTGTTGTGGAGATTTGGAGCTGAATTTTCTGCAGTTGAAATTAAAATGACACGGATTTTAGAGTCATATTTTAAATGAAAAGCATTTTCCTGTTAGTTTCCGGCCGTGGGATTCTAATTCTACGATAACCAGGTCCTTCAAACTTGGCATTGCCACTATAGTCTTGCTAAGGTGGATATTTGAACCAAGAATTGACGCAGGAAGCCATTTTGAACAAATAATTGAAACTCAACAAGTTCCTTACTCATGAATCGAACGGTTAGCCTCAATATTAAATTGTTCATCTCATATCACAGACAAGAAAAAATACGGGACGAACCATTTCAAAGAATGTTACACCATTTCGTTGAGCATTAATGTTCATCTCATGGTCTTTGCTCTGCTTTTTAGATAGTGAAAGATGTCACTTTGTGTGTCGTATTTTTTCAAGCCCCATCCTCTCTTCACTCCTCACCTCTTCTCTAATGCAAGAGCTTAACCTTTGACAATGGGCTTAGTTATACTTTTGGTCGCAATGGACGCCTCTGCTATACATGTGTGATGCTCCTTAGTTAATGTTCATCCTCTATTTGTGCTCCTGATACTTCCTTCTCCTATTATGATCGTGGGTGATAGCGTATCTGTTTTGGTTCTGTTGACTAATGCTATTTAGCGGCTGTTATTTAAGTATTGATTGTTTTGTTTATTTGTTTGTCTCTTTTATTTTATCCCAAGGTTTGGTTATGATTATGGTGGGGGATACGAGCGGGAAATGCGTGGCCGGCCTGGATATGTTGACGAAAGATCTCTTGGCCGGTACAGTGGTCGTTCATCTGGTGGCTATCAAGGTAGTGTTTCCGTTAACTTATAAAATAAACTCAGCATTTTCATGATTATGGTGTAGACTCATTTTTTTTTTGAGGTGATTGTTACGGTACATGAAATACTTGAATTGCATTTGTTGCCAATAGGAAATTTTGAGAATTTCACATTATTATTCGTTGCAAAATATTCTGGCATGATGATATTTGGTTTGGAAAACGAGATATTGTATAGTGTTTGGGCCCATTTCTTCAGCCAATGTCAGCCCTTTTAGCCAATTTATAGAGAGGAGTTTTTCTCATTTTCTTTTCTGGTGCAAGATTATGCCAGGCTCTAATTTAAGTACTAAAGAGAGATTATTGAATGCCTTTGTCCTTTCCCATCTTGTCTAAACGTGATATCATTCTTTTGCCCACTTTGGTATTTCACATTAAGAACAGTTAGTATAGCATACTTGCAGACTAACTTGTTATAACACTTTCGTTGAATGATTTTTCAGTCTTGTAGCTCCTTACGTTTGTGAGCCAAAATGTATATAAGGGGTCTGTAGTTTGTTCAGAACTTTAAAGGTTAGCTACATCTGGAAATTCACATTTTGAGACCTTTGGCCATCGGCTACTATTTATGGCTTTTGAATTCGAACTGCAGCATCTTCTTGCTTCTAAGCTCTCAATTTTGTATTTGTTGTATGGATAATATTGTCAGTTTCTCTTTCTTTGTTTAACAATTTGGTTTGAATCAGTGCCCATATGTGGATGGCCAATATTATAGAATTGGTATTCCCGATCCATTTTCTTATTTTCTTTAAGCTGTCTTCTGCAGATTGGGATTCTAATCGTGGTGGGCATGGCGATCCATTCAATGCAGGAGCTGGCCCAAGGTTAGCATTCAGTAACAACCCAGTTGTACAGCTCTACTACATAATTGAATGGTCATGTGATATCTTTCTGGATATGCTTACAGTGGTTTATTGTATTAGTTTCTGTTTGAACTGTGATTTATTTTCTATGCCGCATGCCATATCATCGGCAAATCACAACTAAGCTAGCAGGCTAGGTCTGAAACAAATGATGACAATGGTTATTGCAAACTGCAATGGGTGGATTATTAATGACATGAAAAACTGAGTGCAAAATCCTGAATTACAATTGATAGTGATCCTGCTCTTGGAAAGGAAAAATGATGGGGGCTTTTCTTTCTGCAGCTTTGTGGTAGGAAAAATACGTTTCCCCGCCTTCTCTTTCTAGTTTGTGTTGTTTCCGAGTCAAATAATTGACTTATTAAGAAATCCAACTTGCAAAAATATAGATTGTGCTACACAGACCCTATATTTTTTTTTTATTATTTTTTTTAATTTTCTGGCACAATTACATCTATTTGGATTGTGATAAGGCACGGTACTGAAAAGGAAACCTTGTTTTGGGTTGTTGTTCTTTTTCTTCCGAGATGGATGGAGATGGATGGTTATGTGTTGCAAATCTAAGTTATCTGGCTATTTTTCATATATATTTTTTTCAAAGATGCACATGTACCTTTTATAATACATAAAGGCTTAGTAAAACCTGAGATACTTGGTAACAATAAATCTAAATAGATTCCTAGATATTGGTAACAATACAAATAAATTAGGGAGGTCAACTCTATCCCTTATCTCATGAGATTACTCATATATCTCTTAATCTAAGGCTAGAAATGACACATTATACTTTAAATCAAGGTCATTCCTTCAATACTCTCCCTCTAGGTGAGGAATAGATATCATTCATTCCCAGCTTGGATACTAACTTATGAAACGTCGAGTTGTGTCGTCCTTTTGTTAGTATATTTGTTACTGTGAGGGCACAAACTTTTGTTCTCACTCACTGTGCCTCCCCTTGAATATTCTTTGATTTCTTTCAAGCAAAAGTTCCAAATGATCCCATAGAAAGTTGGGGTTCTTGTATGTGCCTAGCTAAAGGTTAATAGTTTTCTAATCTTGTTTCTAAACTTGTTATCATAATTATGATCATGATTTGTAATAGACAATAAGTTTGTGCATATTATTCTTAAATATTGTTGTATGTTGATTTCACATTACCTTTATTTCGTTGTGATCTATTTAATTGAAGCATATAATTTCTCTAAAAAAATGTCACTGAATAATGTGTCAAACTTTAAGCGTCAATAATTATTTGACAATTAGCTAAAGTTTTGAAACTTGTGGGCATACAAGATCTTGAGTCTAACTCCCTTTGGCAGAAGGTTGAAGTAAATATGGGCCAATCCTTTCTATTGGATGGGCAAGGGGTCCAAGGTACTTCCAGAACCCTTGGAAAGGTATTTTTGAGGAGCTTCCTTTCTTTTCCCAATTTGTTTGTTGTTTGGTGGGGGATGAGAGGGACTTTTCTTTGGCTGGATAGGTGGTTGGAGAATCGCCCCCTGTTTTTATTTTCCTTGTTTGTGTTTATCCTCGATGAAGAACCCCATTGTTAAATTTTACAAGAAATGTATTTATTCATTTTCTTGCTTTGCCTGCTGACCTAACTCCATCTTTTTAACATTATTTTCAATCCAATGTTGATAATTTATTTATTTATTTATTATTTTTTTAAATTTCAGAGAAGGCTTGATGACATACAAGCAATTTATTCAAGAGCTTGAAGATGATATACTTCCTGCTGAAGCAGAACGCAGGTATGTTCTAAATGGTCTTTTGGGTTTTTATGAGTTCGATCTTTTTACCTTTATGGAACACCTTTGGTTTTGATTTCAGATATCAAGAATACAAGTCAGAGTATATTACAACACAGAAACAAGCCTTTTTTGATTCTCATAAAGATGAAGAATGGTACTTCTTGTCTTTGATATCTGAAATTCCTTTCCATTTCCTATTCCCCCTATTAAATCTCTTTTTTTTCTATTTAGGTTGAGAGATAAATATCATCCTACCAACCTAGTTACTGTCATCGAAAGGTGTTTTTCTCATCATCTTCCTCAAAAGATGGAGTTCTTGTAGCTGTGGTTAATTTCTTCACATTTTTTATTATTTTTAAATTATTGGACATGAGATCGGCTATTTTATTTTATTTTTCTGAACTTTTTTTTTGTGTGGTTGATTCTAATATTTGGTTGGTGGGTTAAGGAGGAATGAGCTTGCACAAAGAACTGCCAAGGACTTTTTGCTTGATCTGCAAAGTGGAACACTGGAGCTGTAAGATTGGACTTTCCACAATTATTTTTGCGTTCATAAAATTTCAACGGTGATGGTAAATCAATGCTGTCTATTTTATGACGCAGAGGTCCTGGGATCAATGTAGCAGCGACAAATAAATCCGGGCAGACTAGTGAACCAAATTCAGATGATGAAGGAGACAATGATGGCAAACGGAGGCGTCATGGTAGAGGACCAGCCAAAGAATTGGATCTTCTTTCTGCTGCTCCTAAGGCCCACCCTGTTAGTTCGGAACCAAGACGGATTCAAATTGACATTGAACAAGCTCAAGCTCTTGTTCGTAAACTTGATGCTGAAAAGGGAATAGAAGAAAATATTTTGTGTGGTTCAGGTCGGGACAAAACGCATGGTGGCTCCTCCGGCATAGTCATAATCATACGAGGGTTAACGACTGTCAAAGGCTTGGAGGGTGTTGAGCTACTTGACACGCTTCTCACATATCTTTGGCGCATCCATGGCTTAGATTACTATGGAATTGTTGAGACAAGAGAAGCTAAGGGTCTTCGTCATGTAAGAGAAGAGGGAAAGACCTCTAACATGGCTGGTGGTGCAGATGAGTGGGAGAAGAAACTTGACTTGCGTTGGCAAGAGAGATTGAGAGGTCAAGATCCGTTGGAAGCAATGACTGCCAAGGATAAAATAGAGGCTGCTGCTTTTGAATCTTTTGATCCATATGTTCGTAAGATAAGAGATGAAAAATATGGTTGGAAGTATGGCTGTGGAGCCAAGGGCTGTACTAAGCTGTTTCATGCCCCTGAGTTTGTGCATAAGCATCTTAACTTGAAACACCCAGAGCTTGTGATGGAGCTGACTTCAAAAGTGCGTGAAGAGCTGTATTTCCAAAATTACATGAAGTAAGTGAATCTTCTGATAGCAATTCTCCTTCACTGTTGATGAAATTTGTCATTGACTAATACCTTAATCCTTCACAGTGATCCAGATGCTCCTGGAGGGACACCTGTTATGCAGCAATCACTTCCGGTATGTTCATTATGTATGCATTGGCTGTGATAACACATTAAATACCAATGAATAGTAAATAACCTCATTTTATGATTGGTGTTTCCGTCGTCATTTCATTCTAACACGTAATTTTTCATTAATGAGGACGGGTGGTGTGTCTAGGATTTTGATATGCCTAGTATGTAGAGTGTGAAGCGTTTTTCATTTTTTGTATTGACAATGCAAGTATGGGTGCAGTCTAGCCATGTAATACTGGGTGTAGATTTTATTTTTTATTTTTTTGCTTTCCTTTTTCTTCTTTTACTCAAACTTAGCTATTATCCTGTTAGGATAAAGAATATTTTCCTGTGCCCTCCTATTGTTCTTTTAGAGAAAATTAGTTTTTTGGCTCTTCAGTTTTGACGATGGTTTCTATTTGGTCCCCAAGTTTTAAAATGTTATACTTTTAGAGAAAATTAGTTTTTACCATGGAGTTTTACTTTTAGTTTCCATTTGGTCCCTCTATGTTTCAAGATTTTACCCATTTACACCCGCAGTAATGCTCAGTTCTGATCTTTTATGTTACTTTTCTACTAATTAACTTAATTTTTTAAAATTAGTTATAATTGGCTATTAAAATTAGTTAAAAAAGTCTAAACATATTATTCAAATTAATTAGTGAAAAGTCAATACCAAAGACCAAAAGTAAGCATTAATAGTGAAAACTAAAGGGTAAAAATATACAATCCTAAAACTTTGGGACTAAATGGAAATTAAACTCAAATCTCAAGGGTAAGAGTGTAACATTTTAAATCCTAGGGACCAAATTGAAACTAAAATTGAAAGTCAAGGGTAAAAATGTAACATTTTGAAGCTTAGAGTCTAATTGCAAACTATACTCAAAATTTAGGGTCCAAAATGGTATTTTCCCCTTTTATTATTGTTGGAGTCTGCATTGTGTTAAAAATTTTAATCCATCAAGAGACAATTATCTTATGCAGAAGGACAAGCCACAGAGACGTAGGATGAATTTAGATGGTCGGCTGAAGGATGATAGAGGCAATCGCAGGGACCGCGATAGTTGGGCCAATGGGGTTGACAGACTTGATAGATCTGAGAACCCACAATCAAGTGATTTTCAATCATCAAATGATGGTGCGGATGGTGGAAACCTTGATGATCCTATGTTTGATACTTTTGGAGGCCAAGGCAGACATGTTGCTCCATTTGCCTCTGAAATGCCGCCGCCAGTGCTTATGCCGGTTCCTGGTGCTGGGTATGTTGGTTTAACTACTCAGTGTTTTTGTGCCTTTTGCGTTCCTGGTGATCTTACAGCTTATGTTTATTGCAGTCCATTAGGACCTTTTGTCCCTGCTCCACCTGAAGTTGCAATGAGAATGTTGCGGGAACAAGGAGGTCCACCTCCGTTTGAGGTTGGTGGTAGAAATGGAAGGCCAGGATCTCAATTAGGTGGATCTGCTCCAATTCTTGCCCTATCTCCAGGTTTTCGACAGGATCCACGCCGAATACGGAGGTATAACTTCTGTACAGATTTTAAGTGCTCTATTTGTTTCTTCTTCTTCATAATGTTGCTTTCTTAGGCTTGACTTTGTAGTCAGGCAAGGAATATTGTGGGATCTATGTTTATAGTCGTAGGAGATCAGTAAAACTTTTTTGGTTTTTTCCCTTGCTGCGAGCTATGTTCTTCATACTAATTATTAATCAGGATAGAATAACAACATAACTCTTCCCAAACTTTAGGATTTTATAATTAGATATAGAAACTAGACAACCAACTGACGCCTCAATCAAGGCTGCGATGTGCGAATATTTTACATTTCTCCAAAACGTGCTTCTTTTCGGTACAAATTTATTTGCAGGATCGAGAAAGTTAATGCATTTTGTTGTATAGCTAACAGTAAATATCATGCAGTTATCAAGACCTAGATGCACCGGAGGACGAAGTCACCGTAATAGATTATAGAAGCTTGTAGATATATCTGGCATCGGCGAAGTTTAGAGGTCACTCATGTTTCCGAAGGGGGGGATGCAACTACAGAACTGGTACGAATTTCAGACTGGTAACTGTACGAAATTCTTATTGTTGCTGAAGAGGTTTGCTTTGTTTCACCCTATAATGAGTTCTGGCTGTGGGCAAGTTCAAATACCCCACCTTAATGGGGAATTGTGCATTCGTCTAACTGTTTTTCTTTTTTCCTTTCTGTGTCCATTCTCTGTATTCTTAGTGAAGAATGAATTCGACCCGAAGGCAAGAGATGATGTTAATGACCGAAAGATGTAACCAATCTTTCGAATCGTCGAACATAATTCTTCTGCAGTTAGGAGTGTGCATCCCTTTTTATTTTTCATTTTTGGTTAGAGTCGATTTTGGTCAAGCAAGAACTATTAATAAAATTGTGGATATCAATTCCTGTTTTATGAACTTTCTAACAGTATAAAGATTGTAATGATAGGATGATCTATTGCTATTTATATTGAGAGAGGATATCCAATTCCCAGGCAGCAGCCAGCCCCCCAATGGGGATGACATGTATGATGAGTAGAAGAAGACTAGACAGGGGTAGTTGTGTTCTTAGGTTCTTTCTATTATAAAGTTGTTTCAGATTTTGTGTTTTGAATTTTCTTTTCCTATGTTATTGGCCTGTTAGTATGTTAATTTTGTTTGTGTTTTTTCTTTTTCTTATATTGTCAATGCCAATGGTAATTACAAAAAGTGGAAAAAGTTATCATTTGAATTTCCAAATATCCTTCGTTGGAATTTCTTTTTAATGATTTCATTGAAAAAAGTCCAATAACAAAAGGGTAACTATCCCATTCCCATGTGTCACGTCATGCTTGTCCAAGACATCTTGCCCATGGTTGTATGCTTGTGACATGCCGAAACCTTTATCGTGTACTACTTTATTGCTTTCTTTTACCGCTTTCATGTTGTATTATTTTTTTCTTGTTTTATTTAAGAGTATGACGTTTCGCGATGTCAAGGCTACGCTTGGTTGACGCTTGGTTGACATGAAATGCTTCAAAATGTATTTGTAGGAAATATGACTAGTTGTCAATTTTCCTATCAAAATGTATTTATAGGGGATTGACTAGTTGTCAATTACTCTACTATAGTTATATGCATAAAGTCATTCCCATAAAACATCAATTTCAATTTCTCTCTCTTGTTAAAACTCTTTTTCCAAAATCTGTCTTTCTCGCTTTCTAAAATCTTCTCTTGAAATCAAGACCTTTGTATTCGAGTTGCCTTTTCCAAAACCTCTCTCCCTCGTTTTCTAAAATCTTCTCTTGAAATTGAGACCTAAGGTTTGTATTCATGTAGCCCGACTGCAGTCAACGTAACTCGAAGTCTTGAAGTAGGCTTGACCCACTCAGTGCTGAGAGTGAGTGCCTGCCCGACCATAGTCAACGTAACTCGAAGTAGGCTTGACCCACTCAGTGTTGGGAGTGAGTGCCGCAAAATCGGCAAATACTCTGCCTAGAAAAACTGCAATTGTGACACCATACGTGATTTTCATATATTCGTGCTCCTAAGTTGAAGTTTTTATTAAAACTTGACATCTGAACGAAAAAAAGAAAAAATATATATATATATTACACAAGTATAATTAAAATTTCATGACCACTATTTTATTTTTCTTAAATGTGGCTAAGGAAGGTTATTGAAATTTAAATAAAGTTAGAATTTCATTTTCATGAAGAAAACAAACGTTTATTTTTTTTTCCCCTTTTTTTATGCTTATGAATGTAAATTTTCTTCGTTCTTGTTTTAAGCGAATCAAATGATTCTGCCTCTACAATGTGTGTATCAATATCAACCTCTGCCTTAATGAGAGAGAGAGAGAGAAAAAAAATCAGTGTGAACAAAAGGTTATTGCCCCAACAAGGAAATGATAAGATAACACAGCAATTGTAGTCTTATTTTCACATTTGAGCAGAAATATCAATGAGACCCTTATGTACACTACATGGTGACCCTCTTTGCACAAGTAAAAACACAGGGAGGGGGGGAGGGGGGGCATACCTTTGTTAGCGACTCGGGTGAGTATCAGATTCTTCGAATTTGGATTGTGGCCATCTCCATTTTCATCCTTCCTCAGCAGAAAGCAAGCAAGCTGAAATCTAAGACTCGGTTTCACCGAAAGCGGGGCAGTCAGAAGTCGAGCAGCTTCAATGACGGTCCTTTCACTTCTATAACAGCAGCAGTCGAAATGCCGAGGTTGCCAGCGATCTCCGAGCATAATTAGGAGATGAGAAGAAAACAAGCATAATTAATGGAGCTACTCTATTCCTGGAGGCATCATACAATATGGTCCTTGCTTGACCCTAACAAGATGACCCTTAGGACCATTGGATGCTTGAATCTAGTGTTACATGTACATCTATAGAGGGAAATGTGGCTAGCCTAAACTAAAAAGAAAAGGGGGATCATCCAAACATTCTCGAATCCGACAGACTAGCAAGCATTTTGTAGCCTTCTACGATGGCAGGCCCCAGAAATAAATGACTTAACGTGCCGTGAGGTCCTCGAGCAGGTGTCTATGAGGTCCTTACTTCCGTTGCTTTTTTGGTAGAGGTGGTTCTGACTGAGTTTCAGCCTGCCCAAATAAGAACAGATAAAGTACAATTCAGACGTCCAAAAGTTGTGAACAGTTCATTTCAAGATATACCGGACAGCAGTCAAATAACCCCTCTTTTCATACCTATCATCTTACAAATTTTCAAACAACTAAATGTTGTGAGGTCAAACGGTTGTCTAATGATGTAACAGCCCAAGCCCATTGTTGGCAGATATTGTCTTCTTTGAGCTTTCCCTTAAGGTTTTTAAAACGTGTCTACTAAGTAGAGGTTTCTACACCCTTCTAAAAAATGTTTTGTTCTCCTTTCCAAACGATGTGGGATCTTACAATGAATTGTGAGATCTCACATCAATTGGGGAAGGGAACGACATCGATTGGAGAGGGGAACGAGTGTCAGTGAGGATGCTGGCTCCGAAGGGAAGGGGGATTATAAGATCCCACATCGTTTGGAGAGGAGAACGAAACATTCTTTAGAAGGGTGTGGAAACCTCTCCTTAGCAGAGGCGTTTTAAAAACCTTGGGGGAAAACCCGAAAAGGAAAGCCCAAAGAGGACAATATCTGCTAATGGTGGGTTTGAGTCGTTACAAATGAAATTAGCGGAGGTTGTGTAAGTTGACCTAGAAATTCATGTAAATTTTTAAGAAAAGAACGATTAACCTTATTAAGAAAAAGATTGTTCTTTATTATTTGATATTTGCATAACACTTCTCACAACTAGAGATGGACAGAAGAAACTTTTAATCTAGTCTAGCAGTAAGAATAAGTGTAAACTGCCAGCAGAGAAGATCCCAACCAAGTCAACTTTTAAGACACTCTTGGAAAATGAATTTACCAAGAAGGTTAGCAAGCTAGATACTCGTTTAGCTACGTGTTCACAAGCAATATACTCCGAATAAGTAACCAACATCCAACAGCTCATTGATGAAGTTCTATAATTATATAAATTTGCCAAAAAAAATCAGAAAAAACGGATGTTGTGATAGTTTGAACACTAGCAACCAAAAGGAAAGGAAAATAAAACGAACAGGTTTAGGCCAAAAGTACTCACAGCATTTGAAAGCTGCTCACGGATGTATGCCATTGACCTCAGCATCGCACCTAGTGTATCTCTAGAGACCTGAAACTTAACCTCAGACTCTCCAGAAGTTGTCTCAGTATCTTGAAGCTGAGATGAAGTAAATTTCAGAATATGCATTTACAAGTAAAATAATAATGCATATAATATAATGTGTATGGCATACATAAAGGGTCTCCAGGACTCTTAAGTGTCATGTTAACACCCTATGATCATGAATAAATAAACCAGTTATTCTCCATGCTTCTAATTCTCAAATATGGATCGATTGCTAATAACAAGAGACCATTTAGTGTTCCCATTACTAGAACCTAACAGTCCAAGGGAGACGTAAAAATCAGGTAAATCCAAATAATTGGATGCATTTAGTATCGAACCTTCAAGTTGATGACAGCAACCTTGTTTGCTGGTGTCGAGAGCTGTTCGCTAATGTATGCCATAGACCTCAACATTGGTTCGAGTGAAACCCTTGAGAGTTGAAACTTCACTTCCGATTCAGCAGACGGGCTCTTGCTGTAGTCTTGCAGCTACAACAGGTAATAAAGAAGCTTATTAGTTCTAGGTCAAACAAATGAGATCAGAACACCCAACCTAAAGAAATCATAACTTCTTGAAAGCTCTTTGAAAGCACAGTCCAGGAAAAGGAAATCATATGTTTCTTTTAGCACCTTCAGGTTGATAACAGCAACTCTATTTCCTGTGGTCGAATTTTTATTCTCCATCACCCATGTCATTGATTTCAGATAAGGAAGAACAGCCTAAACCAAAGGACAATGTTAGAAACTTTTACTTGTTCACATTTCTAAACCAAGAAATAAGCAGAAACTAAATAAACACCATGTGGTCAGGAGGATTATCATCTCGGTGAAGGGTCACAGGAGATATATGTGGGTAATTCAAATCAGTAACGGATTGAACAGGAGCACCAGCATTGTTAAGATTAAGTCGTCTCATAACTTCATCTTGATGAGGCCACAGCAGTGGGGTCGTATCTGATGCTGAAGCTGAGGTCTTCCTCTCATCATAGCTAGCCCCACTAACCTGTGAGCTAGGAGGTGCGACTTTTGCAACATTCTTCTTGATGATTGCTACTTTTTTTCCAGCTTCTTTAAGTGCAGTTATGGCAACAGTATAGGTTTCTGGAGCAGTTGCTCCTTCCTCCGCAAACCTGATTGCTTCTCGGCATAAACTATTGTACCTTGATGATAAAGACTCCTGTCCATGTAACTCAATAGCACGTTCATCCGATCCGAGTCCACTCCTTGCATTTCTTGTCCATCTTTTCAAGATGTAATGAGATGGTAACGTAAGTACATTAGTTACTGTGAAGACGGTTAATACATGTCTGCAAAGAATGCCTGAATACTCAAACATTTGGCAACTACAATTAGCTTTCATATCTGAATAATTTAATGTGACAACATATGCCTTCTGGTCATCCTCAAATTTAGCAACCCTAAAAGTGCTAAAAGCTGCATCTCCTTCAATTCGATTAGCAGTATAGACAAAAGTTTCAACGAGCTCCTCTTGAAATTTTGCAAATATTTTTCTCGTATAAAGATTTGCTGCCTGTTTCTCCATAGGAGATGGTGTTCTCAGTACAGGTGTAGTGCACATTGTATCAAAGTCCGCTTCTATTTCCTTCTCGAACCAGTTTTCTAAAGCTCTTTCATACTGCCTGAAGAACAATGGTAATGTAGTCTGCTGGTTCACATATCCATCCAAAAATGAATCATCATATCCTTGATTCGGAGATATAACAGCAAAAAATGAATCGCGGACATACACAGGAACCCATTGAGCACGGGCATTATATAATGATTGGAGCCAATCATTTCTTGCTAAATTATATTTTTCAATGATACAATTCCAAGCTGACTCAAATTCCTCAATAGTTTCAGTCAAGTTGATACAATTGTAAAATTCGACTTGGAAATTTGGATGTGTGAGACATACAGGAGC